TTTTTTTATGAGACAGGGTTTCTCACTGGCTTGCCAGGTAGGCTAGACTGGCTGGCCTGTGATCCCCCAGTCTCTGCCTCCCAAGCATTGGGATTACAAGCAAACACCACAATGCCTGGCTTTTGTTGTTCTTTGGTTAATTTTTGAAACAGGGTCTTATTATGTCACCCAGGCTATACTGAAACTCACTGTATAGATCAGGATAGCCCTCGAGGTCACAGAGATCCTTCCATCTGCCTGTGCCTTCTGAGTACTGGGATTAAAGTTGTGCCAGGCACTTGGCTTTTGTACATAGGTTCTGAATATCAAATTCAGGTCTTTGTGCTTGCGTGATAGGCAGTTTACTGACAGGACTATCTCCTCAGCTTTATGTGCTGAGCAAGTGCTTGTACTTTCTAGCATTGAGTTCTCATTGCAAAGGCTAGGGCAGGGTTCTCTAAGGATGCTCTTAACTCTGTCTCTCGTTTCCTCTGGCATCTCATGCAAGAGGTCTGTGATGAGAGAACAGTCCTACTGCAAAAGTCTTACATGGTGTTGGTGTTTGCTAGGATCAATTTGTCCTTTGAAACTCAAATTAAATTGCCTCAAATAAATGTGTTTACAGTGAAATAGGAGGAAAGGAGAAGAAAAAAATAAAGTATTTAACTTATAAAATGTTTAACTTATAAATAACTTATAAAAGAATATACAAAGCAGCGTGGAGGTGAACTCTTTGTTGAGAAATATGTACAACTGTTGGACCTGGTAGCAAGCCTGTAATCTCAGCTACTCAGGAGACTGAGGCAGGAGGATCACCATTCTGAGACCTGGGCTGTGTAATGAATTTAAGCCTAGCCTGGGCAAACGTTGGGAGACTCTGACAAGAAGATCCAAAAAACAAACATGCAAATAAAGAAAAACTGAAAAAAAAAGTGTATTTCAAAACAAAGCAAAACAAAACCAAAAAACTTTAAAAGCCCAAAGCTTCTAGCTTTCTGTACTAGAAAGGTCCAACCTTCTAGAAGAGCTTGAAGAACTGTGAGAAGGATTTTTGGTTCTGAGGACAACACATGCTTTTCGATGAGTTTCAGTGATCGTTACCATGGCATGTTTTCTCAGTGTGGAAACCATGAGCCTGTGCTAATGTGCTCCCCAAGGACCAAGCTCTTAGGGTCATAAAGTCACCCAAGGCTAACCTGCAGGGATCAACCGGGGCTCCCTGAGGAGGCTCCAGAGCTGAGCCCTCTGCCTTCTAACAGGAACAGGAGATCTGTGTGGTGCGGGACCAGGTGGGTTTGCCCAGTTGCTGCTTGGGAGCTGCAATACTGGCAAGGTTTATGATGAAAACCCAGAATCCTTTGCTTCTTTGAGATCTTCTGTTTGCTTCTAGTCTGTTGAGTGTCTGCAGCTGGCACTTCGGTTTGATTTCCTGTATGGTACTCTGCCCTTCTTGTTTGTGACCTTCAGTCTGTCTTCAGTTGGGGAGTTTCATTTCTATCAAGATGAGCAGGTGATAGAAAGATTAAGATCATTTGTAAGGGTCGTTACATGAGTGAGGGACTTAAGTACAAAAGCATCTTGGAAAACTGTCATTAAAATCATCAAAATAGTGGCCAAAACAGTAGCTACCGTTTATTGAAATACTGAGTTGCACAGAGGGTGGCTGGTATATACTAATTCATTAATCCTGTAAATAACATGTCAGGTAGCCCATTTACCAGTTAAGGAAACCAAAGGCATATAAATAAAAAATAGCTTCCTTGAGGCTTCTACAGGAATATGTCTCATGCTCAATTCTATTCAAATGTTAACTGCTTTTACAAGTGTAATGCTTCACAAAGCTAAAGCGTGAGTTGACATCAAGGTAAATGACTTCACCTTTCCCATCCTGGGATACCATGCAGCTCAAAAGATGTGGCCATTCAGTTTTCCAGAACTAGATAGATATCTGCACTGTGGCAATTGGTTAAAATAAAACTAAACTGCAAAACAGTGTGTGTTGTATGACTCTCTTTCTGAAATAAAGAAAACACAGTATGCAAAAACAGATGTGGCGGGAGCCGTGGGGAGCTGTCCTCTTAAGTGTGTGAATGTGGCTCTCTTACGTCATGAGCCAAGGTCCTTGTTCAAACTTGACGACCAAAGGAGGATGGCAGGAAGAGGAGAACACTTGTCCTCATTGGAGACACTCCTGTCAGTCGCTTGGTGGAGCGTTGCTAGGGTGGAGAGGATGGATGGGGTGGGGCATATCCCTTACGACTATAATTCCAGATCTGTGCCACATCACAGTTCCATCCTGAGCTCCAAGCATATGGTTAAAAATGGTGTTCTATGGCTTAGGAAAGGGAGTCAAACATGTCTACAAGAGGTGAGTAATTCCTTCTCAAATTGCACATTTGATGGGGCATTGTTTTGCTGATATGGTTGATTTTACTTTTGCTCATCTGTCTACTGGGTGTCTAATATTCACAATTAAAAATAGAGAAGCGCAGCCGGGCAGTGGTGGCACACACTTTTAATCCCAGCACTTGGGAGGCAGAGGCAGGTGGATTTCTGAGTTCGAGAGTTCGAGGCTAGCTTGGTCTACAGAGTGAGTTCCAGGACAGCCAGGGCTACTCAGAGAAACCCTGTCTTGAAAAACCAAAAAAAAAAAAAAAAAAAAAAAAAAAATAGAGAAGCGCAGCTGGTACTTACAGCAGTCCTTATGACACCACAGTGTTGGGAACAGCCTTTCAGCCTGTGGTCCAGGCCTCTTTGGCTGTCCCATCAGGCCGCCTTGACACTGGGCTTTTGTCAGAGTCCTCAAGAGTTCCTACCAGCACGTTATTGGCTCACAGTCTTGTGCGATTCATCAAGTCAACTTTTGGTGTCTAAGTAGTTTGCAGACAGAATAAAGCCAACAGGGCCCTTGCTCGGCTTCCAGGGATTCCTGTTCCTGTAGGGATTGTCCTTGGCTCCCTTTCCTTTACTCTCGCCATCCTGAGAAGGGCAGGCCATCTGTGTGGTGGGTGCTTTCCTGAACCGTCTCTTCTCAATATCGCTGCCATATTAATACTTGGTATGGAAACTGGGTCATCATTTCTTTCACCCTCGTCTCCTTCATCTCCTCTTCCTCACCGCATTTCAGGTCCTCCCACATGGTCTCTGTGGTCACGGTGTGTTTGCTTGTATCATTAGCTGTCTCTCTCACAGGACTCAGCAGTTTAATCAAAGGTGTGGCTCTTGGTTTCAAGAAGACGGAAGGCTGGAAGTTGATGGGAGCAGACTAGTGTCCGCACAAGAGAAAGGCAGAGGATGGCTGCTGTTAGACTGATTTTGAGTTGGGACATAAAATATTAAAATGTGCATATTAATAGAGAGCTGTGCGACACATCAGCGCATGCGCACAACTGTGCTAAATATGCTCACCAAGAATGTATTATGTCTTTATAATGAAAATGTTACTCGTTACTTCTCGCTTTTTGAATCTTGCTCTAAAGGCGAGGCCTTTTAGCTGAGCCGAGAACCTGCACCGAGGCAAGAAAAAGTGTGTTCGAAGTGGAAGCGACGGACGGGACAGGCTGGGGGAGGACTGGGCTGAGAACACGGGCTGAGAAGGTTGGCATTGTCTTGTAGGTAGGAGGGAGGAAAACATCTTCTTTTATTTGATACAAATTCTTCCAGGGGTTTAAAAAAGGCATTTCTGTCTGTCGGAGTGACTTTATTGTAAACATATGTGTACATGCGTATTTTCATTCTGTTGTTTTAGATAGGATCTCATTCTGTAGCCCAGACTGGCCAAGAATTCATTAGATAGCCTAGAATAGTCATGAACTTGTGGTGATCCTCCTGCCTCAGCCTCCTAAGTGCTAGAATTATAGACAGGAGCCATCATGCCCAGTTATTTGATACTTTTTAATGTAAAAAGAATGTAGCCTATGTGGCCAATCATTTAGAAAATGGGAGGATGGATGAGATAGGTAATCGGCAGTCAATCCTATCTCCTTAAATAGTTTCCTTAGTGGTTTCTCAGGGAAACTCAGTCTTGGTCCTGCCTCCTTTACTGCTGTCTCTTCCCTGTCATTGGGGCCTTGAACATGTTAGGCAAGCTCTGTACTACTGAGCTAGACTAACTGTACCTCTCAGTCTCTGAATATTATTTTTAAATGCTCATACATGGGCCGGGGATGTAGTTGGTAGTTGCCTAATATGCACATAGTCCTAGGGTTGATCTTCAACACTTGATAAAACCAGATGGATGGCACATGAATGTTATCCCAGTACTAAGCGGGTAGAAGCAGGAGAATCAGAAGTTTAAGGCCATCCTTGGCTATGAGCTCAAGGCCAGCCTAGGTTATGTGAGACCTTGACTCAAAACAAAACAACAACTGAACCTTCCTGTACAACAACCCAGTATCTACACTGTTGGTTATTTAGCTTGGGGTTTGCCTAAGTTCTTATTATCTTTAAAATTTTATTTATTTATTCTATGTATATGAGTACATTGTGGCTTCCTTCAGGCACACCAGAAGAGGGTATCAGATCCCATTACAGATGGTTGTGAGCCACCATGTGGTTGCTGGGAGTTGAACTCAGGACCTCTGGAAGAGCAGTCAGTGCTCTTAACCTCTGAGCCATCTCTCCAGCCCTGGTTCTTTATATTTTATAAGATATTAGTAGCATCAACTTCAAATCTTTCTTATTTGATTTTTTTTTGTTTTGTTTTGCTTTTTCGAGACAGGGTTTCTCTGAATAGCCCTGGTTGTCCTGGAACTCACTCTGTAGACCAGGTTAGCCTCGAACTCTCGAACTCAGAGATCCGCCTGCCTCTGCCTCCCAAGTGCTGGGACTAAAGGCGCGCGCCACCACCGCCCGGCTTTTTTTTTCTATTTTAACTACATCACTAACAGGACTTCAGTTTCAGTGACGAGAACAAGGAAACATGGCTTACATAATCCAGCTATTTCTTCCTCCCAGAGACGGAAAGCGTAAGAGGTCAGCAAAGCCAGGCTTCTGCTGGTCTCTGCAGGACTCTTGTCTTTTCAGCCCTTGGTACTCCACATCTAATTTAGCCCTCAAAGTAAGAAAAAAAAATGGCAGGGCCCCTGTACATACTTCCTGGTTGTGCTGCTTAGGAAGAAAGCAAGATTTTCCTCCACATTTTCATTGACTTGAACTGGGTGACATGGACACTCTTAGCTGCAAGGGAGGCAGGGAAGCCAAGAAGTAGAAGATTCTTTTTTATCATCTTTGACTGGACAGCATGAGTCACATCCTGGTATGGGACATTTTGCACTTTTCTTTTCCAAATAAAGTTTGTTTTAGCAAGAAAAATAATAAATGGCTTCTGGGCATAGCCAGGAAAATTAGAAATGACAGGTGCTATTTTGTGGTGAGCATCAAGACAATGCAGAGATAATGAGAACTATAGAAGTGGGGTTTTTTGGTGTGTGCTTTTTTGGCATCGAGTTCTCAAAACCTACTCTTTATGCTACTTGGACCAGAATGGAAAAACACACTTAAAATACTACACTGTGCTTATTGGACAATGTGTGTATGTGTGTGTGTGT